AACAGTCTCATGCTTACATTTGATGTTCATTTTCTTGGCTTCTGATGGATCCATGGTAAGATCAACAATAACATTTTCCATGCCATTAATAGTAACTTTACCGTCCATCTTGTATTTATCCATTTTAGGTCGAACAATGACAATGTTTGGTGTATATGTGATACGTGATCCATCCTCCATGACTTTTGTATCGGCATCGATTATCAAAACCTTGGCATTATTGTATGATACGTGGCCGTTGAATGATTTCAAATTATCTTTGTTTTTGAACACACCTATTAAATAAACAGAGGATTACAAATAAAAATAATTTACAAATAAATGGATGCTACATAAATAAAATCTTTTGCAAAATTCCTGACAACTTTGCTTGACTTAAAAAATTAACTAAAGATCAATTCAACGATCTTTGTAGTTATAAATGAATATGCAATCCATACCTTTACTGACAGCTTGGACCCATGGAGATCTCATTCTTACTTCCATATCATTATTTTTTGTGTCAAGGATAAAATCAAAAGACATATCACGATCAATCTTGGATCCCGGTGTATCAAGAGCCAACTGAACAACATTGGTTGATGGACTCTGAAATATTAGCACATGATATAATTGGTATTCAACATGGTCAAAAAATGCGGCGAAATGTATTTAGATACAGTGCTGGTATTCAAAATGCTAACATTAGGTAAATGAAACCAAAAGAAAAGAAACATTATTTTCAGGATTTTATTTCATCATTAACACAAGATGCTCACAAAGATAGTATTTATGCTTACCTGTGTTTTCTTAGCCAGAAGTCGATATCCAATATGGCTGTCACGCTTGTGCAAAGTCAGACTGACTCCAACTGGCCCAGTGAATGGGAAGTAGGGGGCATCGGCCTTCATGGAGGCGTTTGGGAAGCTAATTTCTCCACACAATTCCAATCCAGTTACCTTGGCCATGCGAGATCCAGTACAGACCGTTGCTACCTTTCGGTTATCAGTGACCATGGTCTGTTCTTTCTCAATATCGCCATGGACGGTGAAGAAAGCGGTCCTAGAAAGATGAAAAAAAGAACTTAATGGGTAATTCATTGATTGTTAAGTATAAGAAATAGTTAGCTATCTGAACTTTTAACATAAAAGAAGTAACGACGTGTAGATAGTTGTTTCAATTTATTGTACTTACTTGACGTCTAAAATTTCCATTTTATCCTGTGGCATATCGAATTCAACTTTCATTATCTTTCCTCCGTGGACCAAGATGCTTCCTTTAGCTGCAGTGCTTGAGTGAAGTGTGCTTGTCATTCTTAGTCCAGATTTTGTGACGTAGGCATCAACACTCATACATCCAGTGATAGCTACAGCACCACTACAAAGACAAACGTATATAAAAATAAAGTAGGTTTAATGTACAAATAAAACATGAATGGATAAAAGGAATGTCGATGCATTAGGTCCCCTAACTATAAATTTGCGATAACTCCTTAGTCTCTTGTAATTGTAAAAAGTATTCTTTTTAAAATTTAAAACAACATTTACCTTGGTTCAATAGTTCCTTCGATTTGGAGTCTTGATGGGTTGGCGGTCAATTTATTTAATCTCATTTCACCTGATGCTTTCATATCTACGGTTGCGACACCATTGACAGTGAGATTAAGAGGCATGCCAGACGAAGTAGGAACGATAATACTGCTGTCCAAAAACATGAAGCTCTGGGTGAAGGAAAGGTCATGCTTATTAGACAATTTTTTGAGGATATCTTCGAAATTCAGGCTCTTCATTTTAGGTAGTGAATCAAGACCTTGGAAGTGTGTGAAAGCCATTTCGTTACCAAACATTCTCATATACATAGAACCTCTGAGTTGGTCAAGTTTAGCCTTGCTCTGTAATTGAAATACAATTTAATATTTAAAAAAAGGATGTGAGATATAATATATACATTTCATAACACATGCCTTAATATTCACAACCATCTGTAATAATAAACTATAACATAAACTGTAAATTAAGCAAATATAGATACATTTACTTGTTTCAATTAATGTTCTAGATAAAGAAATGTAAAACAATTGAATTAATGTAATGGGAAAAGAAATGTAAAACAAATGAGAGATCAGATTTTCTTTTCAAAATAAGATGATTACCTTAGCAACAGATTTGGATGAACTCTTTTCACCAAAATATCCAAGTGGTCCAAGGTAAGTTTCTAACAAATATTCCAAACCTTCAATACGACCTCCCATATCCATGAGGTTTACGGAATTACCGAAAAGGTCAACAGTCAAGTTTAGGTTAGCAGATCTTGGAATAAAAGATTTTGAAGACCAGATGATGTTGCTTTCAACCATAGCACCGGTGTTGATTTTCTCTAACATAAAAGACCCCTCGTAGTTTCTAGAATATTTCAGCTTTTCCATGTTGAATTCTTTCTTCAGACGAGCATCTTCAAGGATAAATCTGATGTTCTGTTTGTGTGGATTGGATGTTTCCATCAAATTAGTTAGATGAGACCAAACAAATGAACCAACTTGATTAGCATCTTCTGATTCCAATGTTGATTTAACTATGTTAATAATATCTTCACTTGGGCATCGCATGACAGCTTGGTAAGCGGCGATTCTCAATTCAGAGTCTTCCGATCTATCTCTGAATATCGTCATTGGTCCACTTCTCTGTAAAACAAGAAAAAAAAGTCATGTAATAAGATACGCCTTTTGTTTGATACATTACATTTTTGATCTCTATAAAATTTTGAAAGTATAATTTAATACTTACATCCGCTGAGCATGGTAATCGTCGGAAAGCTTCAAGGGCAGCAACTTTTATTTCCATTGGGTTAGATGCTCTTTTGAAGCAGTTGCTCAAGACAGTAGATCCAATTGTGTTGCTGTGTCCAGCGTTTCCAATTGCTCGGAGAGTTCTCAGGGCCTATAAAAGTGTATTCAATAACGTGTATATTTGTAGATATAAGAATATTATTGTTATTATTTTCATGAAAAGAAATTAAATTATTAGAATTAAAATGGATAATTGGTGTTACCTTTTCCAGATTGCTATCGCGAACATAGCATCCACTTCCCAAACTGGTTTCGAAGATTTCAATGATGTCACTGACTTCCATCATGTCAGAGCAGCCAGGTGTCTTGGTACAGAAATTGTTTACCAAAGAAGATACTGGGAGCATGGCCTTTTCTTGAATGCTGTTCATACGAAGAATATCCTTGGCATTGGCCAACATTTCTCTGGTTGGTGCCTGAATAAAAGCGAGGGTGTTAATCCACATTTCAGCAACGAGTCCTGTGATTTCCTTGTTCATCAATAGTTCTTTCATCATTTCAACAGAGCTGCTGGTACTGACCATTGGGATGGCGTCAAGGAAGAATTTCTTGGTTCTTTCCATATTACCACTACATATGGAACCACTGGTAACTTGTATGTAGATGTCTCTCATTGTAACTGTGTTTAGGTTTCTCAGCAAATGAACAAGTTCAGAAAACATCATTGGTACCTGTGGTCTAATGTCTGAGCTTGTAGCATGGCATATTTCTTGAAGTTTTCTTTCAACATCCTTTCGTTGCATCTCAGATGACACTGGCTCTTTGGCGTGTTCGAAAAACATGTTTGCTCTTCGTGTGATGTAACCTAGCATAAAGAAGGCAGACAATTTGAACATTGCTAAACACAACTGTTGGAATTTTGGATAGTAGAGTGAATATCTTTAAATGTGTTTTAATGATATAAAATGATGATGTGTACCTGGTCTTGTTGTCACACCTTGTCTCATTGATTTATATTTCAGTTTCTGGATAATTCTTGTTAAGGCACCGCTATTCTCGTTTGAGAATGGTCGGTAAACGTGGGTTTCTTTACATATGACGTTCTTGAGAAAAGCTTCAGTGTTATCGACTTCCTGGTTACATTCATGTTCACTTTTAATCAGAGGTAATGACTGGATTTCCTGCAGAAAGACAAACAAGATTTACTCAAACCACTGCCTTATTTTTCTTTAAAACAAATGTAGAATTTATTCAACATTATTTATATCACCACACCACAGAGAAAGTATACCAGGTGTTATGAAAAGAGACAGCAAGCACAATAGCCTTCTCCATTTTAATATAGAAAGGGATTAACAAATTAAACAAACTGACTGGAACGTATATTTTATCATTATTGTATATTATGTATATTTGTATTGGTATTTTATTTGAGATAAAACTTACAGATGGAACTCTATAAGGCATAGCTTGGATAACACTTCTGTAGTTTTGTCTATCCATACAACCTAATAAATTCTTGGATTTAGTTATAGTTGTCGTGTACCAGTTTTTAGAGCTTTTATACTGAGTCATACACTTCCCTGTTACATCAGCCTAGAAAACAAAGATACGTTCATTTCACTCTTTGAATATTGTGATTTCTTTAATCTTTTTTTTAACAAAAATCAGTTATATAAACTGTTGACTCCAGGACTGACTAGAGTCTAACGTGTTATTTCAAATTATACAAATAAGAATAAACATGTAATGTATTTGAATTTTTACCTCATGGACAGATTGGTCAGTTTCAAATGCATCCATAGTGTTCTGGAAAGTTGAAAGGATACCTCTTTTGATGTTCAATATCCATGGCCTATCACCCTCAACTGGGCACAGCTCTTCTACGGCACCATCTTGGAAGGCGAATCTCAAGGTGTTAGCTTCGAGAGCCATTCTGAATTCTGAGTTGTCAATTGGTCGCATGGCCTCGCTAGGATCTGATTGGAAAACTTGCACGTTTCTTAACTGCAAATATAGAAAATAAACTACTTTATAGCAGATACTTTAATATTTATTGAAGGGGTTCTGCAGCGCTAAAATTACACACAGGGTCTTTAAATAAAAGAAAATGTATTAACTGAATTTGTGCAGAATTCAAATCGTATGAACTCCAGTTCAAATTTATTTTACTAACAAATGTTTCATTTCTGTAAAGAAATGAATTAAATTGTAATGAGATATTACCTTAAGTGCAAATTCACATTTTGACATAGCCTCAACTTCAGCCGTGGCCTTGATTCCAAGGGTAGCCTTTTCATCGGATGCGCCTTCCATAGCAGTATGTGTCTGGACATTGTAGTCAAATTCGTAAGTCGTTCCAGGTCGATATCTAAATTTGGATGATTCTGGACAATAAAAAGAAACAAACAAAATTAATCCGATTTACAAGATAATAACGCATCCAAGACTACTAGAACTGTTTTGCATTTACTAGCTCGCAATCGTTTTGTAAAATGAATGGACTGAAATGCAACAAAATAAGAAACACTCACTTATATAACTATTGTTTTTACAAAATCAGACAAAATAAGAAACACTCACTTATATAACTATTTTTTTTTACAAAATCAGACCCTGAATGGTATTCTTCTTTGCTAGTAAAACAATAATATTACTTACCTGTGCATCTTTGTGCACACATATTATTATCGCTTTCATAACGAACATTTATTGGTCCTGAAAAGAGAATACACATTATCGTTCATGAAACCGGGCATTTCATGGAGATTTTTATATTCTGTTAACGTCATAGTAAATTATACCAAACCGGTTATACAAATATTTACAATTTTAAAACAGATGTCAAAATACCAATTTACATTGATGTTTTTATTTTTGAAGAAACGTAGACCGTGGTGGTCATTAATATTATTACAACTGGCTGTGAAATACCGATATCATAATAGCATAATATATGGTTGTAAAATAGTGTTAAGTGGTACTGATCAGAATAACATTCATAGTTGCCACTTACAGTAAAAACTATAGTAAAATAATGGTAAACTATGTAAATTGTATAGACAAACATAAATAGAAAACTTAAAATAATAAGTAAATCAATTAATTGAAGCTTACCTGCGAGAACTCCTGCCACAAGGGCTGCTAGTAGCAGTATTCTGGCCTCCATAGTATACCGTGAGACCGACGTTTTCAATATCTGTTCATGTGTAAATCTGCTAAACTAAATTCTAATTGGGTCTTTTATACCCTCAGATTAATAGCCCAGATATCAAAGTCTAAAACTTGAGTTCGATCTATGTAATTGTGTTAACAAAGGCCATTATCAAGCACGCTGGTGACTGTCATCGACCAAAATGTGCCTAGCAATAGGTCAGAGTCCTTAAGATAATGCAATTGACATCCCTGATATAATTTATGCAATTATTAATTTAGCCAGTGAAATAGTTTTTTTTTCTGTTGAAACTGAATTAAATATTAAAAGATTTAGATAGGGAACTCTTATGTAGCAAAAAGGCTCTATTTCGATTGATGTTTCTTCGGCCCATTGCTAATGTTTGAAAGTGGGAAGTGTTGGAATAAAATAAAATATTCTTGATTCAGAAGCCATGTCCATATCACTGTTTTTATTTCTTAATTTTTATTCCGTAAATCCAATAAATGACATATCTATGAGAAGCTATATTATTATAAATAGCAGATAGCCCTCGTTGATAAAACATTCTAAAAAATAGGGTTCCATCAAGAAAATCGAAAACCACATTCGAAAAATGATCTACTCTTAGAATTACAAATTCAGATATTTTCCGTTCGTATTTCTACTAAACATTTCTTTCGGACATCCGGACTTCTGTAGCGGAGAAATGTTAGAGCTGGCAAAATCAATGAAATGGGTGATAGAGATAGTAATTTTATGTTATCGTTGTACATGTAAGAATGGTAATTTAATGTGATGGTTGCAAGCGATAGTGTTTTAGTGACAATGCTGTATGAAATATTGAAATGGTTGTACGAAATGGCGTTGTAATGAGAAGATTATACAAGGTGGTTTTATATAATGTGATAGTGTTATGGTTGTATGAATAGTTTTTTAGTGGGAAGATTTACGAAATGGTGTTATAATGAGATGGTTGTGCGAAATGGTGTTATAGTGAGATGGTTGTGTGAGATGGTTTTGTGGAGAGAAGGTTGTAAGAGATGGTGCAGTAGGGGTGATAGTTGTGCAAGACGGTGTTATAGGGAGAAAGTTGTGTTGATGGTGTTGTAGTGAGAAGGTTGTATGAGATGGTGTTGTAAAGAGAAGACTGTACGAGAAGGTGTTATTGTGAGTTAGGTGTGCAAACTACTGATACAAATTACAAAAGACGTTGTTAGGTATGTAAACTCTACAAATAAATTAAATGGTATTACACAACCTTCTTCGCGCCAAAAAGAATAGAGTTTGTAAGAAATGGAGCACGGTACCGTTGAATGGAATGGAAGTTTTAAGCATTAATCTGATTTGGTTCTGTCACTTTAATTAGAAAAAAAAAGAATGACCTTTTTGATGCGATATCAACAATTTAGGGGTCCCCCCCCCCCGCCCCTCCTTTTAATCCCTGTAAGAGTTTCCGCTGTGTAGGTTTAGTTGTAAATGGCCCCCTAATCAAAGGTGTTAAGTTTTTATTGTATTTGATTGTTATTTTTGTTGCATATTCTGTATATATTTGCCTACTATGCACATACCTGTATCATTTGTACCTTGTGTTAATATGTTCATTTACTAAATGCTAATCAAAGAAGACACACGTCATCATGTGACTACCAGACTAATGAACCAGATTGTGAAATCCGAGGGCAAGTATATTAGAATTTGCAACAATTTGACATTTGTAATGCGATGCAGAGATGTTGCCATTATTCCCAATGGATTACTCCCAAAACACCAGTCCAGTCTGCCGCAACTTATAATATTCTAAGGAAAGCCGTTAAGTGTCTTGTCAAAGAACGAATTCAACACTTTAGAAATGAGAAACAAAAACTGTTAAAATTAATTAGTGAACAACATGCAGAACTCGAATCCTTACTTTCCTCAGAAGATTATAATTCAATACGATGAATGAAAGTCAAAGCTAACTCCTTACTTGATGAACAAGTGATTATGGACACCAATGACTATGTGGATACCTTGAACAGCCTACTACAAGACACCAAAACCTACCAAAGAATCGGGAAAGATCCCACAGCCACGAAACCAATCTGCGAAACGTCTCACCTCATTGAAAGACAAAATACAGATCAAATCAGCACTCTTACTATACTCTGAATCCCTCTCACCCTAGACCACCATATGCACGTGCCACAATTGAGCTTCACAAGAACCCGGTCAAGACTCGCTTACTGTTTTGTTCCCGAGATTCAGTATATTACAATACAGCAAAATTCTTAACTTTCAAATGTGTGTCTGACACCATGTCAGACTGGATGAACATTCTGTCTGACATTTTAATTTTTCGGTCGGACATAATATTCTGACATTTAGGTTGGCACAAAGTCTATCAAGATATATTATGTTGACTAATATCTTTTGCGACCCACGTGACTTGAGCCAGGGCAGTTTTGCTTAGTTTTCGTTTGTTGGACGAAATTGTTTTTGATTTGTCACGGATATAGAAATGAATGAATAATTGGGTCACGCTTCCTGCGGATTTAAAATACACACCACCCATTGAGAACTTAGCTATTTGTTGTATGATTAAATAAAGTATGATCGAGACTTTGAGTTATTGTTCATTACAATATAAATCCCAAATTTCATCGGCACCCATCATCCGATAATATAGCTTCCCGTCTATGACAGTGTTGGCCTAATCACGCGACAATTTGGGGTGTGGATAATTATTTTACTGTAGTTTACGAACTTGTAAGAAATTTTAAACAGGAAGCCTATTTTGTAAATAAAAGGTTCTATGCTGAAATACATACAACCGAATTACACCATTCGACTGACAACTGTTCAGTGCGTATCGGCATTGGATTTATTGAAAATATCAAATCTCCGAAGCGTGACATCGTATGTATTGTGTAAGATTAAGAATATATGTGACAAAAATCGCTAAATTTTAGTATTCGGCATCTACGATAAATTTTCATAATCCCGTCATGGCCATAGAAGCAAGCCCGCGTGGTTGATTGACTAGATGTGACATGTTTCAGATAAAATAGACTTTTATGTGCATTTCCAACTGTGGGTTGTTATTTAGCCAACGAGTTATAAAATATCGAGCTACAATAGAAAGTAAAGTTAGACTTAGAATTTCGCGAAAGGTAGCAATCTACTGTACTTTCATTTTCCGAAAATGGCGATAATCTGCCGATAAATTTTTCCACGAACAAATCAGCAAAGTCTTTCATTGTCGACTCAAGCAATTTTTGCCATAAAAAGACTACAGTCTGCGATATCACCTCGGTGGAAGCGGACGTAAAATACAACTAACACTAACTTCAGCCGGTGCCATTCTTTCCTACAATATAGTAGATTTGTTCACCCAAATCCCCGTAGCTCAGACGATCCAAATACATAAAAAAAAAATCAATGGCTTAGAGACCCCACTGGACACCAACTTAACCACTGATAATATCACTCAACTGTTACATTACTGTATAACTGCCACTTACTGTAGATGGTGAATGGTGTGATAAATATTATCAACAAATACATGGCCTGCCTATGGGTAACCCACTATCGCCACTACTGTCAGAAGTATTCATAACCAGTTTTGAAACTGATGCATTACAGACTTCCCCCATCAAACCCCGTTCTTGGTATCGCCGGGTTGATGATGCATTTGTGGTCCTCAATAATAACGACAAACCAGTATCGCTACTCCAACATCTGAATAGTCAACAAACGAGGATAAAATTCTAAATGTAAACCGAAACTGATGACAGTACAGTCTCCCATTTCTTGATGTCTTAGTGACTAAATCTGACAACAAATTCTCCACTACTGTTTATAGGAAACCAACTCATACTGACCAATACATTCACTATAAATCAAATCCATCATCACCATTCTAATCAGGCGCACCACCAAGATATGAGAAGGCGAAAGTTTACCCGCGGAATTAGAGCATTAAAAGAACGTTTTCATAAACAATAACAGTTACCCCACCCATCTGGTTCTGGTTAATGATGTCATCACCACCACCAGAGAGAACCAAGAACGCCAAATACTGACCACTCTGGCATCAGAATAACCATCCCGTTTCACGGCAAAATCTCTTACCAGATCAGAAGGTTGATGAAACAAAAAGTGAGCATAGACGTCACCTTCTCAAGCGGCATAACCATACAAAATTTACTGCAAGCTAATGCTAAAACAAAACAATCCAACCCCCACAGCCCAAAGGATACATTTACGAAATAACTTGCTCGTGCAACGAAAAGTTTGTAGGTGAAAAGAAGCGTCCACTCGATGTACGAATAAAAGAGCACAAGTCACTAGCTTCCACCAATTCCCCAGCCGTAGCAGAGCATATTATTATCAACGGCCATCATACAATCCTGTGGAATCAAGCAAGAACCCTTGCAGTAAATCATCACCAGAAGAAAACCAGGAAATTTCAATATAAAACGCACCAAGCCCAAGTTAAACCTTGATGTGGGACTCTTTGTCCAGTTTTTTTTATATAGTCTAATTGTACTTTTTTACATATCTTGATTTTCAGTACTTATCCAATTTTACAGTCTGATAATATATTTCACTTTTATTGACTTTCAGTTTATTGAATAAATATATTTATAGTTTCCCTCGTCTAGGTTTATAGTCTTAATAACAGGTTTCATGATTTTCAGCATGCAGAATTAATACCTTTCGGTGCTTATCCAGTTTTACAGTCTAGTTATGGTTTTCAGTACTTATGCAGTTTTACAGTCTGATAATATATTTCACATGTATTGATTTTCAATTCATTGAATTAATATATTTAAGATTTCCCTCGTCCAGCTTTATAGTCTAATAGGTTTTATCTTTCATGATTTCCAGCTTATTGAAGTGATACATTTATGGTTTCCCTTGCATCAACGATCACTCTTGTTCAGGAGCTTATGATGAACTTATACATTGATTCAAATACTTTTCTTCTATTTCAGTGCATATCCAGTTTTTTCACAGCATAATTATACATTTTACGTTATCTTGGTTTTCAGTACTTATC